AGCGCCGCGCCACACCACCGGAGCCGCCCCCCCCACAGAATGCCGCGCCACGCTCCCCCCACCGCCCCTTACCAGGTGCCGCCCCAAGCATGTGCTTGGGTGCCTGGTGCCTAGAGCCGGCCCTGGTGTTATCATCTATATGATACATTTTTCATCTATATTACATTTTCTCTTTTTTCTAAAGGTACATTCTGTCAAGCTTTGTATGGCTTGAGTTTAATTTACCTTTATTTTCTTATGCCTTATCTCTTTTGTTTGTACTCTCATCCCATGCATTCGATCATGGCCCAAGATCATCTCGATTATGTCTGGTCATCTTCCAGAATGACAGAACTTTTTCCAATGCCATCCTAATTGTTAAGGCTCTTATGCTCTTGTATAGATGGTACTGTGCCTTTGCACAATATGCTGTCTTGGAACAGACAATGCTAGTGCCAGGAGACATGCTGGATATTTATTAATGACCATGTCTAAGAGATCATAAACACATTTTCAGATTCCAAGGAAGAAAACAGCATTCTAGCTTGCTAACACAGAGCGATCTGAACTGACAGAAGCAAGGAAACCCCAAACAAAGGATGCAGCTCCATTACTAGCTGACTGTACTTTTAGGCAGATTTATTCAGCAGCTCTCTCAATAGTGAGAATGAAGATGCTTCTTGGGAGCCAGTTGGGGGTGGGGAAGACAGATGCAGAGGCTTCCAGCTTTAATAGATCTGGCTGACAGTCTGTGCTTTGAAGAGCTTGCAATCTAGTTTATGACAAAATTCAACTAATGAATACAAAATAATAAGAGGGAAGCAGGGAGGGAGGCAGAAGGTGATAGGAATAATAAGAACACACATTTCTATAGGCTTTCTGTTCACAAGGGGGTAGTTCTAAGTCATTTAAATTTTGTTGTTAAAAATAAGGTTTTCTGATGAAAAAAATACTTTTAACAGAACATTAGAAGATATCTTTTTAAAAAAAAAATCCTTTAATGTTTGATTTAAATATCCCCCTGAAGCGTTTTCAAGCCCAGTTTTTGAAGTATTGTGCAAGAGTGAACAAGTGAAACTACAAACTCTCATGTGGTATTTTACTATCCAATTTAGCAAAATGGAAAAAGTAAACATGAATGGTGAAACAAAGAGGGTTTTTTAAACAAATCCAAATGATTAATAATACAGCTGAGGGTCGTTTTAACATACTGTATGATTTTTTAAACCATAACTCATGGTTCAGATAGAGAATATCTTTTGGAAAATTGGACAGACTTGAAAGAGAATAGCATATATGATGAAGCAATTTCATTTACCCATAAAGTCTGTTGCTGAAGGGATTTTGCTATATTAAGATTGCTTTCCCTGGAAACTCAGTCTCTCCAATTGCAGATCTTGGCAGGGGGGAAATCATAATTATTTGCTCCTGGCATCCCTTTGTTCACCTGAAAAAGAATGATGCTGCAGATTTGGCATGTGAGGCTAGATCACGCTCTTCCTATTCAAACAAGTGTTCTTATTACTGTCAATGAGATTACTTGTGTGAATAAGGCAAGTAGGATTTGGCCTGAATGCTTCATTTCAGGATCAAGCAAGTGTACCACATGAGCTAATGAAGGAGCAAGCCTTTGGTTTAAATAAAAAATATATTTGATATTCAGCAAAACAAACACTGAAAAAGAAATGACAAATGAATAGATTTAATGTGTTTGAAAGCTTTCCCTTATACAAAAGCCCTCCAGTAAGTAAATAAATAACAAACAGATAATAAAAATGAAGAAAGTTGCTACTGTCTATGAAGTCATAGTTTTTCAAATGTGCATTTTTGCGTGTATAATACTATTAAAAATGCCATTGTCCATTGAACAGACTACGATTTGGTATTTATTTTAATTTTAATTTTGTATTTAAATTTTAACCACAGACCTATGTTGAAATGAATAGAGCATTTTTCAGCCCATTACTGTACATAGCATATCCTTTGGAATGTTACTTCAGGTCATTTACAATGTTATAGTAGCCATATTGGTCCCAGGATATGACAAAGACAAGGCAAGTCTTGGCACATTCCCACTTGTGCCTTTAGCAGACACTCTTCTGAATATGGGCAGCCTCCATTTAGCAGTACTGAGCAAGCCATTTTTAATTGCTCACTGCATTTGTTTCTGTTCAGATTCCAGGGTCAGAGGATGGTTCCTGTTGGATTCTTACCTACCCACATTTTTCCTTACTGTAGTATATCTACTTTCCATATGGCTGGGTACCAAGTTTATGAAGAACAGGCCTGCATTCTCTCTCAGGGGTCATCTCATTGTGTATAACCTTGGAGTTACAGTGCTTTCCTTGTACATGCTCATAGAGGTAAGTTTTCTTAAATGCAGCACCACATCCGAGAAGGCCAAGCACTAAGTCATTTTTCACCACAGAAATATTTTAGTAAAACATAACTTCCAAGGTAATCTGGGCTTTCAAATTGCAACCTCTTTCAGCCAGTTAAACAATTGATCTGTGAAACTATAGAATAATTTGACTCGTATAGCACCGTCTAGCCATGGATCTCAAGGCCATCATTAATGAGCTATGCCTCACACCTACAGTTAGTCAATTTCTGCTAAAACAGAAAGTTTGCAAATATGCATTTGAATTTTTAGTGGCTGTTCTGTTCAACTATGTCTGTTCAACCTTTTTCTTCACCATTTGTGAACATTCCCATGAATTATACGATGCAGTTGTTCCATGTTGGTCCCAGGATATTAGAGAGACAATGTGGGTGAGGTCATATCTTTTACTGGATCAACTTCTGTTGGTGAGAGAGCTTGAAAGCTTGTCTCTCTAACCAACAGAAGTTGGTCCAATAAAAAAATATTACTTCGCCCACCTTGTCTCTCTAATATCCTGTGAATTTTTTGTTTTTTTTATTTGCATGTATATCTATGGAATGGCTATTTGTTCAAATACCCATATTTACATGTGACTGAACTGATTTATGTAGAAGAGTATGTGCTATATTCATTATTTGTTATTCACTGTCATTTGTTTACACTCCTGTTTAACAGGGTTCAAGCATCCAGTAAGGGAGTGTGTAGTGACCGATCACATGTTATGAAAAGCAAAAATTCAGCTTACTGTGAGAGTTTGGAAACCCCTGGGCTGAGTGTTCGGTGACTACTTATCAGTAAAGAATACACTCTCAGAAATTATAATCTATTAATGAACAGAAAAACGGGTTCAATTTGTCTGATTATTTAGTCAAAATGAATAATTCAACCAGCTCTGTTGTGAAGTAGCATGTTTTCTTATTTTACAAATGGGGAAAATTGAGAGACAGATTAAGTGACTCGCCCAGAGTCACACAGGAAGTTTGTGGCAGAGCTAGGGATAGAACCCAAGTAAGCCTGATCTGCAAGGACATTTTCTTACCCATTTAGGTGATGTTTTGAGAAAATACAGCCTTGCATTCTTGCATCCATGTTCACTCTGATCCCTTTTAGAAAACTACACTGGTCTAGAAAACTTCATAGTAACATAGGTATGGTTCCATTCCCAAACGTCTGTCAGTTGAACAAGCTAAGATCTTGGCTATAGCACCCAATGCTGATCCTGGCTTGCTCAGACATGTGCCCATAATGGACACTACTGGGTGAGCAATGTGATAGATTTTGAGCAACTCATCCTCCCTTGCTGGTTAGAACATGTGCAACTGATGAGAAATGGCAACAGCAGAATAGTGGCCTCCTGCAGAAACAGTTTGCTTTGAGCTCATCACAAAGATAGAGAATAGGAGCAGGGTCCGAAGTACCAAATGATACCAGTTCTGTTAACCACAGTTCTAAACTATCCCGCATTTAAAATGTGTTGGGTTTCCGAGTAATTAATTGTTATGGATAATTCCAGTTACTTTACCTTAGCGTTAACATGCTAAAATTAATCCTCCCATGTTTCTCTGGTAAATAACCCAGCCTGATGAGACAGGCAGGCTGAATTATGTGTTTGTTTTTGGAGTGACCTCTGGAGGTGCTAGATGACATTCCAGGCCTTGTTCAGACTACCCTCGCAGCATTCCAGGCTTCCCAGTGCCGCGTAGGGCACCAGGATCGAGTCATTGACAAGAGAAGAACAAATACTGATTGTTCTCTCAGCAGAATGGCAAAACATTGCTTTGCTCAGAAGTCAAACAGGGCCTCATGAAAACTTTCAAGTTTGAAGGGAATTAATTTCTTTTGATCTTAACAAGAGGCAATTTGTCTGATCAAAACTATGGGCTCAGTTCTGGCTTGTGCAGACACACAAGGGGCTACTCCCACATGAAGAGACTCATCCCATTCAGAATTCACACTGGCTTCAGCAATTTTTACGGGTGCTTGAGGAATGCAGGATCAAGCCCAAAACATAGGAGAAATGAACACAAGCCCACTTACTGGATGGTTTGGCCACTATACAACAATTTGGCTCCTTAATAAAAGTAACACTTTGGGGGTTAACATTTAATTTGTGGTGGAGGCACACAGAACGTTATCCAAATAGTAAGGTTCAAAGAAAATGCAGCATATTACACAGAAAAATCAGACCCCTGCTCTCCTGTGTCTGCAGGCAGGCTCAGCCCTCCACTGAGCAGGTGAATACATCAGAACTTAGCAGATGTAAGTCATACAGCTGAAGTGCACATGATTTTCAATGTAACGGATCTTTGCTGTAAATGCATTGCACAGACTTCCGTTATGTTGCCTGATCTTTCACTTTCTGAAGATTGTTTTGCTGTACACAATACTAATTTGTCAATGCCCCTCCAATTATTCATCCAGGCCTCACTTCTGCAACCCATAGCTCATCAGCTTCTGTGTCCAGTTCACACACACGATTTCTGTTGTTCATTAATTACAGTGACAGAGCTCACCACTCCATGTTCTACATCTGTTATGGATCCATTTGTGGACACCCCTTAAATCATTTCCCTTACCTTCTAACCAATCCTGGTCCCAATGCCTCTCAGAACTCCACCTGGCCACCTCTGAGTTGTGTCACTGGCATAGGGTCCTTAACAAATACTATGCTAGAAGCAGCTCCACTGCACCCCTTCCCCACCTGTCCATTCTCCCTACTCCAGGTGGAGAGGGCGCAGAGATGCAGGGCTCAACTGCAACAGAGGCAGCTTCCCTCCAACAGGAGAATTCTGTGCTGGGCCTTTGCAGCTGGATTATGGCTCCGAAGTGCTTGCCGAGTAGTGCACGAGGCTCATAACCCAGCTTGAATATCTGGCTCACGGTCCGAATTTCATCAGTTCACTAACAATTGGCTTACTTTTTTCTTCCCAAAAGATTTCAATTTTTAAATAAAAATCCAAGTGCTGATGGAAAGATTTTTTTCCCAGGGGCAGTGGTGGTGGTGCAAAATGCACAACCTCTGCCCAACTTTAACCAGAATCCTAAATTGTATCCAGAAATGAATAGACAGCCAGAGCAATCTGGGGAACACTGCCGTAATGTGCTATCTCTGGAAAATCCCATCAAATAGTCAGGTCTCCGGGCGTTGCACTAGACATAGATAACTCCAGCAAAATTCACATCAGAAAGAAACTGTTACAACTCTCATGCTACGTAAAGACAGTAACAAGAGACACTTTTGACTACAGACAACATTTGGGAATCCACTAGCCCTGGAAGCTCAAAAAGTATCCTGAACTGTGACTAACAATTGGAAACTAGATTCCCTTAATAATGGGAGCAGCCACGAAATCTACCCAGTTCTTGAGTTGTTTCCCTCAGTAGTCAGTGCTATCTCTCTCCTGTTTAGATTAAACCTCACCCAGCATGCTCTTATCCATGACCTACCTTGTTCAGGCACTGAGAAAACAGAGACACTGCACCACCTGGGTCAAATCAAGAAGAGGTGTAGAGTAGAGAGGTGTGTCATCAGCATATGGCTGGCATTGCATCTCAGGCTGCCTATCTACCCTGTAGCTTCATACACTTATTAGTTCCTATGCACCAGTGAGGCATGTGAATTTTAAGTGAGGGGAGGTAATAGACTAGAGCACCATGCATCAGAACCCTGTCCTCAGAGTAACAGTTAACATAGTCCCTTGGGATCTATCTGAGAGGAAAGAACAAAACCACACCTGAGCAAGTCTATCACGTCTTGCCAATTTTCACAATCAAGTCATGATAAAAGGTTGCCAGTATAGCTAAAAGCAGCACTGTGAGCACCCTCTCTAGAAGGGGGTCAACCACCAGCAAGTTCAGTATTACAGACAAGCTTGAACCCAGATTGACAAGTATCAAGACAATTTGAGGATTCCCAATAGCACCAGGAGTTGTCTCCCAACCACCTTTTCAATTACTTTACCCAATAGGGGCAAAGCAGAGACAGAACAATTATGATATTGCAGTCAAGTCATAAGCCATATTGGTTGGATTGTGTTTGTCTTTGCAAGCAAACTTTGGAATTACAATGGCACCTCCCAAATTGGCACTAGTGAACAGAAAACCCATTAAAATATTTGAATTTGGCACAATAGTGAACAAGATAAATAAAAACAGGGACACTGCATCACAAAATATATTTTGTTCATTTATTTTGGTAGCTGAAATTTTAATTATTTGCTTCATAACATGCTGTAGTAAATTTTGCAAAGATAAAGAGGCTTCTACTCCACCTATCCTGTTAAATCCTTGCTGAGAAGCAGGGGGAGACAGCAATTTTAATACAGCAAGTTAAGAAGGCGGCAAATCTGTGAGGTTTTAGTGTATAAAAGACCCCATGCAGGCTCTCCTGGCACTTTAGTGAAAGCACAGTGCTAGAGATCAGAATTCAGATCTCTGTGGAAGTGCACTGAGCCTGAAATAAGTGGTACCTTTTATTAGTACTGAGAGGCCATCCCTTCCCCATAGCAGGTGATCAAAGCAGCCTTCCTTGACTCTAGAGTGGGCTGAGGAAAGGGAAATAGAGGTCCCATTGTCACAAAAAGGGAAATTCTGGTATGCATTACATGACTGCAATTATTTGTGTGAGGACCCAATCTTGCAAGCTGCTAAGCACTACTGACTGAAGTGGGAGTTGATAGTACTTGGAACTTTATAGGATCAGGGCCTTATGGAAGAGTCCTATATAATTTAATAGGGATAAAATCAAGGGGGCTGTACAAAAGTTACTGACTGTCCTATAGAATTTAGTGGAGGATGATATCCATCTAATAGAGGTCTGATTGTCAGAAGTGCTGAGCAGCTACACCTGCTATTGACTTTAACTGAAGTTGTGAGTATTTGACATCTCTAACCCAGGTTTTAGCCCCCAACCATCCTATAGAATTCTATAGCAAAGGTATAAATGTCTTTATTAAGTTAAACAGGATTGTTTAAAAAACCCCATGAAAAGTTGCCCTTTTCCATTAAATGATACTGGGCAGATTA